TATATATATATATATATATATATATATATATATATATATATATATATATATATATATATATATATATAAATTAATGGATATACATGTATGGATGTGTGTATATATAAAACCAGCGATACTAATAAGCATGTTCACTACCATCATTCCTTCTTTGTTATGCTGTATTACTCATTGTATCTGGTTTTGAAATGGGAATATTCTAAATCCCAGTAATATGGTATGTGCTTCTTCTCTTTACCATTCTACCCCCCCATATGTCTTCCCAGCTTTACCAGATTTAGGTAATGTAATGAGAGATAAATATAGATGGTTCTATACGATGTCCTGTGCCCATGTTATAGGAGTATTTTTTTAAAATCTTGTCAGTTTCTTTTCTCTTCATTTATGAGTATCTTGTTTGTATTGTTTATTTTCTTAAATATCCCCAATGCTGTAAGATACAGTTTGCACTTAGTTGTTATCATGAAATATGGTCTGGATTTTGTTTTGCTTTTTTGCAAAGCAATTGCTATTATTACTTTTATTTTCACATCTCTCTAAGCTGAATCAACCCTGACCCTCCCTATGACCAGTCTGTTCATACACTGACAAAATTCACAAAATTCCAAATGATAAAAGTTACTAAAATACCTGCCTTGCAGCCATGACATGCAGATACGCAATTGCCCCTAACTCTTCTTATTTTGTGGTTTATAGCATTTACTTGTATTTTTCTTTAGAACTAGCACTTGAATTTGTTTGTTTAAGCTTTTGGAGCGATTTTGAATTTTCTTATGTACAGTATTCAAAGTAATGTGACATAGTGTGTTTTTTTACCCCAGACATATGTAGTAGGAAGTGTAAAAACCCTCCTGCTTTTTTTTTCTTTTTTTGGTTAGTTGGTTCACTTGAACTGATTATGAATAAGTAATTTGTCCAGCTCCTTGATGGAATTTTTCAGACAAGGTAAATGAATAGAAAATTTATTAACTATGGGGGGTGCTGGTTTGATTAAGAAAAGCTATATATAGTATGAGTAGAACTAACATAAAAATTGCCTTTGGCAAAAGAAAATCATGGCTCAACACTCACCGGTAGTAAGAACAGGGGGGGTGGGGGCTGCCATGCATGCTGCGGACCTGACGAATGTTGCGCTGCCTCACTCATTTTTTGTCCCCTCTGTCCCTCTTGTTTTCCAGTGGCCATCCCTATCCTTCTGTTCTTTCTGTTGGGAAAGCCATACGAACGTGGGTTTAACTGCGATGACGAAAGCC